GGGACGGTCATGCTGCAATCCCTTCTCCTCCATTCTCCTCTCGGGATCTTGGGCACACATGTACACGTGCCCGGCGTGAGTTCTAAGCCACCGGGTCCGGGATGCGAACTGCGGTTGATTACGTGGGAGTCCAGCGACATAGCCATTATGCTAACTGCTGGTACCCTGCACCTGGCGTGTTTTAAGCCACTGGGTCCAGGACTTGAACCAGGGTTGGCCATGTGGCAGTCCAGTGACATAACTACTACATCATCTGCTGGTCTCTCTCTTCTCATAAAGACACTACTCCCATTCATAAGGGCTCTATCCTCAAGGCCCAACTACTTCCTAAAGGCCCCACCTACTGATACAAGCCTGTTGACTTTAGAGTTTTAACATATGAATTTGGGGTTGGAGCCACAGGCATTCAGTCTGTAACAACTTTCCCTAATATTGTACCTGCTCGCTTCCCAACTCTTGAGAGTCACTACACTAGAAAATGCCCAGGGCTCCCTCTCATGTATTTTCCCTTGCATGTATTATCCAGTGGTTACATTTCAAAATGATACCCTGCTATGCGAATACGTCTTTCTGAACCTTTGGAAGAAGTAACAGGTTGCCAATAGCACAAGGCGTCCATCCACTGAACAGTCCCCAGCCATAGTCCAGCTTTACAGGAAATTTAACCTGGCTGTTTTCTTCGCAGGCTCTGGTATTTCCAAGGTTTCTGAGATGTTCCTTTTCTCTTTTTGCCCCCAAATTGCCTCCCTTTTTGGGTTACCCACAGATTTCCAGAATTCAATACACTCAGTTTTGCTTCCTTTATGTATTATCTACTTCTTCTAGGCTGTTAACAGGAAAACCTTAGATGGGCTAGCTAGTGGTATGAAGATTAAGGTGGCTGGATCCCACGTGACAGACTGTGGGGTTCAACTTCTGGACCTGGAAGCTTATAAACCACTGATTCAAAAATCAGAGAAGACTGGAGGAGAAGGGACTGAGGTGTGGCCATCTCCCGTGAGGATGCTTTCTCACTTTCTCTCTTTCTGGCAAGTGCACATGCTCTATAGCAAATAAAAAAAAAAAGGAAAGAAAAACCTTAGGCAAATTTAATTTTTTATAGTTATTATTTTATTTTATTATTATTATTCAATTTGAAGAGAGAGAAAACAAGCTGCCAGGTCTGGGACTCAAACCGTCAAACATTTGGGAGTCTGGCACCTCAACCACTACGCCACCTGCCAGCTTCTGAAATCTAATTTTTTTTATCTTAATATGACACAATGAAAGAAAAACCAGTGGGAGGATAGAAGCTAGGGCTGGCCGTCCCTGCAGCATGTTCACCTGCCCCTAACTATCCCAGCCTCCCCCTTCTCCACTGACATGTTTTGTTACCACTGTGACCTATGTTCCCAGTGTGACAGAAGACTGAGCTAACACCTATAATCTTCACCTCTGGGTGCCAGGTGGATGCACTGACTGGCTCACTCTAGAGGTGGCATGCAGAACCAAATCGGGCTCTCTTGCTCTTTCTTTCTCTCTCTCTCTCTCTTTTTTCTTTTTTTAGAGGTTTTTGATATAGGGTGTGTGCACTTGCCAGAAAGACAGACAGACAGAGAGAGAGATGGAAAGTGAGAAATCACCCTCCAGGGGGGATGGCCACGCCGCAATCCCTTCTCCTCCATTCTCCTCTCAGGATCTTGGGCACTCACGCACACACCTCAGCGTGAGTTTAAGCTACTGGGTCCCGGACTCCAGCCGCGGTCAACTACATGGGAGTCCAGCAACATAGCCATTATGCCATCTGCTGGTCCCAGGGCTCTTTATTTAGACAGCAGAATAAGGCACAGTGAAGTGGGAGGGAGACCTGGTCTCCTGGCAACAGAAACTCTCATATGCATCAACTCTTTGTAGCACAGGAGAAACATTTTTTAATTCAGTGAGAACGACACCTAGCAGCCTGGCTACAGTTCAAGAGGGGCTGGCCATAACACTTCTGGTCACACCTCCTGGAAAAGCTTGGTGAGCACTTCCATCAGCTCCTGCTTCTTCATCCCGCTCTTCAGCCTGTACACCCTGCAGGCCTCCTTCCACGCAGGCACAGTGAGCTTGCCCAGCATGCTCTTGCTGACGTGGGCCTTTAGGTCCTCTTCAGAAAACTCCACCTTGGACCTTTTACTTCCAGAACCCTCATCATCTTGTTTTTTCTTGGTAACGTTCCTGCCAGGAGTGTAATCTGGTGGGCAGGTGAGTTCCTTAAACTCGTCTACCAGAGCCTAGTCTTTTATCCATTTCTTCAATTTGGGCAATGTCAGATCTATGACATTGTTCGGCTTGTTTGGGCTCCATCACATCCAAAGCTAAGGCCTCCAGGCTCCTGAGGTGCTGCTGTAGCACTGGGTTCTCAAAGTCATCACATTTGAAGCGGAGTTTCTGAATAATAGCCTTCATCTTGTCCACCTGCTCTGGGCTTGCCTTGACTCTTTCAGTAATGGACCCCTTCCATTTGTCATCAGCATAGGGTAGGTAAAAAAGCTGGAAACCTGAAGGAGTCACCTGAATTTTTTGGTCATCCAGCTCCTCTTGCAGTGGCACCAGAGCCACAAAATATGGGGGGGTGTTCTTGCGGGGTGTGTATCTGCACACTTCCATGACCTCCTTCTTCAAACACTTGCTGAGGAGAGCACTGAACAAGGTCGTGCTCTGGTTTACCAGGGTCTCCTCAAGATGCACAAACATGGAGGGCAGGTAATGGTCCTTCTTCAATATTACTAAGGCTCGAAACTGATGAGAATAAGACCTGGCTCATCGAACCATTTCAGCTCTTCTGTTTCCTCTTTCTCCAGTAGAATTTGACTGTTTCCATAGATCTGAGACCTCTTGGTGTCACTAGGCAGGAGAAAGTTGCCTGTATACAAAAGATTCACATCTTGACTTTCACTGGTTCATTTGTTTTCCAATGCAGCCTTATTGCAGAAGACCTAAAAGCCTTCTGGAGCAAATTATAAGTGTCCTCAGACAGTGCTATATCTTTGCTGAGCTTCAATGTTAACCCGTAGAGTGGTCTCTTCTTGGTTTCCTTGGCATAAACCTTCCTACTTAGGTCTTCTAGTTTGCTTGACACCTCTAAATGAACCAT